GGTTTATAGTCTTAGGGAGATGCAAATTTGTACGAAACAACAATATGTAGATATTGACCTGCCTTGAGTTCCTTCTATTATAAGAGAAAAAACATGTAGACATCTAACAATAATCTTTGAGTTGGAGGATCAAATGACAAATATTATCAATTTAAAAAAATGCTGCAATTTAGTTCAATTAGACTCTGGTCATTGTCAACCTACAGTGCATATCCATTGTTAGAGTTGTCAGTGTATTGTGTTATTGTGAATAAATATGACATATACTGGACTATATGTTGGAAAGTGTTTTGTAATTTTACCCAGCAATCTGGCCCTAAATGTAATTACATTTGCAAAGTTGTAATCCTGGAGAAGATGAAAGCGTTGGTTAACAATCATTTATGAGACAAATCCTTCACCACAAAGGTCAGAACAGAGTCAACACAGCACCACAGGCACTAAATGTTTTGCTAAATAGGAACCAGTAAGTTTCACAGTTGATGCAGTTCCCTGTGTCTAAGGAAGCAGCGTTCTACTCAATTCCTAATCTGAATTATTTTTCTTCCCTTAGTCCAAAGTGAGGTCGTGGTGAAGCTGGAGCAAATCTCAGGCACTTACAGAGACAAATAATAATAATAATAATAATAATAATAAAAAACCAACAGAAAGATAACCTACTGTTTAGTCATTTTAATAGGTCCAATTCACTTACTCCTGCATGTTCTTGACTGTAAGATTGAACCAGGTTCTACTCTGACAAGACAACGTACTCCACTAAGCTGACAATATTCTGTTGTTCACCTTAAAATCTACAACATGATGATGAATAGATCATCTAAAAATGACACACCGGCCCTTTAACTTCAACCTCCAGCCCGTTAATGACGCAAACTTAGAGAAATCGCGGACCTGAACTTAAAAAGCCTTGTGGCTAAAAGTTTAAGCGATTACACATTTGACAAACAGCAGAAAGAAATGAGCGAAAATAAATCAGAATATAAATGTAATTGCATCGTACGACTAATCCCCCTCATCCATTACCGCGAGCTGCTTTTCCTCGAGGACTAATCACAATAACAAATGTACGGTACCGAGGTTAACCACGGTCTCGTAGCTCAGGGTGGTTCTGTGAATGGGAGAGAGAGGAGACAGAGTGGTACCAACGCTGCCCCAAATCTATTTAAGGAATGCAGAGGCATAGGCATTGCCTTTAGGGAGGAGATAATTCTTGTTTTACAGCAGCGGGGTCACACTAGACTTTAAACAAAGACCCAAATGAGATTCCAAATAATGGCTGAGATCAAATAGTTTCTCTGTCTTTATTGCCACCAAAGGATTTATTGAGAGAAGGAGCAAGCAAACAAATGCTGGTCTGCACGGCGGCACGTGCACAGGCAATGAAAAAAAGAAATCCAATCTTTCTTTCCTGTGAATACTCAATATGAATATGTAGATATATTTTATAGAATGATGGTATGGTTTTATTTTTTTATTTCCTCCTTTATTAAAAACAGTGCAGAATCAATATGATTCAAATGAGATGTGATGAAATAAGATGAGATGAGATGAGACGAGAAACGAGATTAGAAATACAAAAACAAAAACTGAGATGAAATGTGACAGATATAAGATTTAATGTAAAACTTGGGATATATAAAAACTGTAAGTAATTTAAAGCAACTACATGGTATGTGGAAATGTAAAAACAGGTTGTTGTTTTATGGTGTTTATGATTCTTTGAAGACACTTCTACGTCGTCTTTCATTTTGAAGAAAATGATTTTGCTAAATATTTGTATCAGCCAATAATGAACCTTTTTGTCCTTGGATATTTGTTTAGAAACACAAATGTGTCACCAACAGTACCAGAGACAGAGGTGCGGTGTCTGTTCAAATGGATTAAATGGAAGTTTAATGAAGGTTCGACTTTGATTCTGAAATATTCAAAGGTCAAGCACAGAAAAAAAAATGTGTATAACCTTGGACTGCAGCTAGGAATATGTCATAAAATGTATTTCCAAAAAATGTGTGTTGTGAAAACACATGAAGACTCGTCATCATGTTTTTTTCTCAAACCACTGATTTTTAGTGTCATAATCAAAAAAATAAAGATAAGACTATGATACAATGTTGACAATGACAAAATATTCACAACAGAATAAAGCTGTGAATATCAAAAACACTGTATGATTTCATTAGAAACGCCAGCTAGTTAGTCTAAATGAGAAAAATATGCCGACCACTTACGCTGAATTGCACTCTATCTATTCTACTGATGAGAAGCAGATATCGACACATTTTAATTTTCCACAACACAGCACACGAGCAGGCTTTATATCGTGGACAGCAGCAGTCCACACTGCTGGCCACGCCTTCAAGATGAGCCAAACAAAAAAGGGATAATGGAAATTTGACTAAACAAACAAGAATGGCAGTCATGACAACTAACATAATAACTAACCAGCCAACTGGCTATTTGAGCTTTTACTTAATTGTGTAAAGCCCAGCATCTGTGGCGCATCATTAGCAATGTCATGGGGACATGGATTTAAAGGGAAAGTATCATTGATACAGAGGGTTTTATTGGTGTCTAATTAAGC